ATACATTCGGATCGGATCAAGGGGCCTGTTCCGCGAAAGTTCCGTTAACTTAACGAACCCGAGACAATATTTTAAAATCAGAATTTTAAGATTGGTGTAGCATGTTCTGGCACTCTAACCAGTCCATTTTGTTTCTTTACCTACTATGTCTCATGTATAATTTCCACAACCAACATCTTGAATAAACATAGAACGGCTTTACAGGCCCGTTAGGTTATCGAAACCACCGAGAAACGGCCCGTAAACTACGCAGGAAGGGGTCCAAAACTTTTTAATACTTCTACAGTTGGGCCATGTCTGGCCTCTTTAAAGCATCCACCAACACTTTTACCATTCCGTCATGCAAGACTAAGGAGGGTTCATGCAGAAAAATTGCTCTGTTGTTGATTTTCTCATTTACTGCACGAACACTTCGATCCTCATACAAGGGTACTGAGAAAAGGTGACCGGATAATATCGAATGTATCTTGCTTGGACTGGGTTATTCAGTGTGTGTTTTATTGTATTAAGATCTCATTGAATCCCTTAGCTGATGTCACTGGACGAAAAACCAAAATTTTGGTTACGTAAGTGTTGCCGAGACCTTTGTTTCCATTGCGGAAACGTAACGGCTAACAAGTGTTTCCATAGACAGACATATTTCAGTCGCTGTGGACACAGCAGAACCGGACCACCTTTCCACATGTTTTTGATGGAGAAGAGGACAAGATCTGTTATCACTTTGAGAAAACGGAAAAACTCAAAATTTTAGAGAAAACCGAGATTACCCTTTATCCTGAAGGTTATTTATTATTCTTACATCAATTTTAACTATTCCCAACCGGTAAATCCTCCCTCAGACTGCGCATGTACACAGAAAATACCTGACCGTCACGTTTCATACCTTTTCGACGTTTTGCTCTTTATATGCAGTCCAACTGGTACCATCAGTAGAAAAGGAGAGCCTGTAGCTTTTTATAAACGATCCGTTTGCCTTTCCTTGCGTGGCGACTCCGCATACTGTGCGTCCTGCTCCAATATCAACCTGTATATAGTCATCGGTGATTCTAGAAGACTGCTGACACCAACCGCTGTCTCCATTGAGCCGTCCTTTGTGTGGATAATAGCTGAGATAATTGGAACTCGCAGTGATTTGGACGTCAGGTATGATGTTTGGATCTTCTACTCCTAAAGCCTCGCAAGATAGTACAGCTGCAAGAAATGTAAATTCGTAACCATTTTGATGTTATCTCAATACGTGCGTTGCACTGGTTATCAGATCTTTAACAGATTCTTCGTGCGCCACGGTATTTTCTTTTGCGGTTTCCTAATAATTGCTACTTTAAGTGTAACATCGGTTTTTCAAACAAATGCAGATACCTCTTACCTCTGATAGTGGTCCGCACACCAAGCTACGGACTTCGTTTTTTCTGCTCGTATTTACGTTCCAAGCACGGAGAGGGTCATAAATCCGAGCAGAAAAAACAAGGTTCCGTACTACACCACTGACCGAGATATTTACCATGAGACAACGCGATAAATAGAGAATGATACATATCTACAAGCAACCATGTATTACTTTGTTTATCATGTAAACACGATGGCCCTTAAGTGTCAAGAAAAGTCAACTTAATTAATGAATTAAAATAAAAGGATCGACAATCCCCAAGTAAAAGTAGTAAACTGCGTTAGGGCCAAGGCTACAAATTAAAAAAATATGTTCAAACACTACAAAACATAGAAAATCCTCATTGATTGACTTGGTTGTTACCGACAGAAGAAATCTTTCAAGTTCACGGCGAAAATCGGTCTGTGGCAAATTTATCGGTTGTCGGTTTTCGTTCTCAGCCGTGAGAAATACCAAAAGCCACTTAATACATAACTTTTTTCAATTAATCACTGTATCTAGGAAAGTTTGAAAGTTACTCTCCGTAAGCGATACGGATTTTTCAGTGTTTTAGCAGCCATAATCCAAAACAAAAAGAATTCTGACAAACTACCTTGGATTGAGAATGGTGAAGGCTTTAGCCCTCGTTCATTCAACCTGACCGAGTCGCGCGAAGGGCGAGTAACGTGTCAGCAGCCGATTGGCGATATCAAACACACGTGAAAAAATACGACATCTTTTCACGTGTGTTTTTACAACTTCTCCTGGGGCTGAAAATCCTTCTATAACACCGTAGTTTATGTGATAAGTAAGATAATTCCTATAACTTTGGGCCCAAATAGAGGGGGAAAATTTCAATTAAAAAAACTTGTTCAAGCTAAGGGTATCTACTGTGATTTACGGCCTGCTAAGTTTATCAACCAAGGCGTACGTACCAACCAAATTCACTTACTAACTGAGATTCATTGTCTTCCTTGCTCTTTTGTCTTTACGTTCTCTATTTTGTTTTACGTAAACTGTCTTGTGCACCATGGACGAGTCCTATTTTGTCTTCAATACTCAACACAAAGTGTTGATAACTGGGCACGCTGGCCAGCCAAGCCACTATACCGTTTACTCACCACCAATATGCCTACCAGAGTTTATTACATTTACTTTTGAAGGAAATTAAATGCACCAAAAGGACACGAAAACCAGTGAAAACTAAAGAGATTTGGGGAGTTTAAGGGTTAACACGGCGAAAGCTGAACGTAAAATACCTCGCCCTACTACCGACCTCAAATTACAAACTACGATCCTATAGCCTTCCTCGGACCTCGCACCCGCCTCCAATCCTTTAATACGTGCCGGAAAAATATTAATTTTTTCAAATCACGTCTACTACAAATTACATTTTGAGTCAAGTTTTGCATGGTGCTGTACGGTGTATGATCAGCTTTAATGCCCTTTCGGCTAAATTCGTCCAGGCCTGGAATCCACATTTATATCAATATAAAATTTTAAAGAATAAACTGACTGTACACCCTCTTACCAGTGCAAGTTCTCCCATCTGCAATAACTCCAGGTTTACAAGCACAAATATACGAGTCAGGGGTATTCTGGCAAATGGCATTCGTGTCACAGACAGGTAACGAGGCCTTGCATTCATCAGCATCTAACAAAAATGATTGTATATACTGTACAAATTAGAAATTAATTGACAATGGGCCCTGTGAATGTTTACGTAAAAATACCCACTCATACCTTCAAACCTCGCTTTCACGGTCTACACTCAAGATTCTGAATGCGACACTACTGAAATCAAAGGTTTTCCACATGAAAACAACCAGATGGAGTTAAAGTTCCCGACAAATATAATGCCAAGTAGGCTTGGACCGATATTTTTCAGTAAATAACATCATCGTGCATAATAGCTATTCTATGATATTCAGCATATTATATGATGAAATATCAAATACTTCCAGGAAATAGATAAATAAATAAATAAATAAATAGGCGGATAAATAATTCGTGAAATGAGCGAAAGAGAAAGTGACTAATTTGTCATTTAGGGTAATAAGTAAATTCAAGCGGAAACAAGGAATGAAAGATTGTGAATGATATTTTTCTCATTTGTGGTGGTTGTGAAAGGAACCAAACATTGTAGGATATTACAACTCGGCGTGGATCTTCTTTACCAAAACGATTAGTGCTTGATCAAGATTTTTTTACACTGATGTCAACAAATACTAGTAATTGAGTTTTGTTACCCGCTGTTTCCATATCGCAAGGAACAAGTACTGTCTTCCCCTCTATAATGGAATCAAGCCAGTAATTGCCACTGTTCGCTTTCCCCTCTTCGCTTGCTTTTATCTCTCGACATGTTTCTGCTGCAAATTCAGGAATGGAGCCAAGAGGAACTAAGGACGGAGAATAGTTTTATCAGGTTCAAATTACTTCAATAACCGCCAGTGCTAGGGCTGCTTCTTGTTGAAACTCACCTCTTTTCTTATTACTCCTGACATAAAATCTTTCAGAATTTGGCACAAAGTTCTCTGGTCTGGCCTCCTTAGTCCGGTTGTTTAGTTCACATAGCTCCTCTGAAATGACGTAGTTGAAGCTGTGACATCTGAAATCATTGTAACATGCTTGATGGCATTCAAATGCAATCAATGATCTCACTTTCCTGAAGGTGTGTCCTCGAAGCATCATACCAGAAATGGCATGCTCACCCTCCTTGCATTGTTGAGCGAAAACCTCGTACACGTAGCACAGTACAATAACAATGCAGAATCGCATCGACATTAGCTTTGGCTCGTCCTTTTCTGTAAGAGAAGTTTCATAGACTGACATTTGGGTGATTTGGGTGGGAGAACAAGCTATAATGCGAAAGGTTTTCAATCATGGTTGAAAATGCACCAGAAATTTAAGAGAAAAGGAAGAAAAATATAACAATCAAAGTGGGAATAGATATTGACACTTGAGATGCTGTTTGGACGACAGTTTTGTTCGTTGTAAAACCTGGTAACTTAAAGAACTTACTTGTTTATCGTACGATCCATGCTCTTAGCGTTTTTGAAATATTCATTATAACTTTTGAAGTGCAATATTTCTTTCCTTTAAAAAGTATTTCTGCACGCCATAGGAGAGCGACTATCTGGAAACTTTGATTTAAGTGACGGGATTATTTTAAACTTTTTTTTACGATTAACAGTTAAAATTTGTCAAGTTTTACGCCTAACGGTTTAATTGTATGGCCGCTGATACAATTTTGGGACTTTTTCACGATCATAAACAAAAAAAATTTAAATATGGCAACTTAGAAAATCATATAAGTTCTGCAAGCAATTTTAGAGTTTAAATGCTTCAGAATTCTATTTACATATTTTTTGTCTCTTGTAAAGGAGTTGTGTAAAGCTCATTAATCATTAAGCAGCAATCACAGTCTTCAAATACCTTCATGTCTATTCACGCTCAACCAAAAAGCAGCCGTTAGATTAGTGAAATGATTAAGAAGACTTGACTTGATAAACTTAGAGTTTTCGCAGTTCTAAGTCAAAAGTGATTTATAGAAATAAGTTATAGCGAAGGAAATGCAAGACATGTTCATTAGCGCTTCTAATGGGTGATATTATCGTCCCAAATTAAACCCTTGTGATAACTGACTCAAATATCGATGGCTACGGCTTATTTTGATGTTGGGACAACATGCCGCTTATCAAGCTGTTAATGAAACAGTGTCAGTCTGTGGTCGCCGGGAAACAAGAACTAAATCAAAGTTGGAGCCGTGAACTATTTAAATTTGTCTTTTCCATCTTACTGAAAAGTTTCTCGTTTGAGAAGAACGAAGATATCGAAAAATAACAGACTTGAGACACCTTTGTCTTTTGCAAGAATTACAATGTACAGTTTCATTTATATGACACCTCTTCGAAAAAAATTTATATGTACAAAATAAAGTCTGCATCTCAGGGTAAATCGTTAATTTTTAATCCCGAAAGTCGACGTTATCTTCCTCTGACGAGTCAGTAAGATCAGTAGTTTGGATTGAAAAAAAGTCGGTTTAAGGTTACTTCCCATCTTCGCGGGTGTCCTTCCGACTTCCGACGAAAAAATTCGTACCCGCGCTAGTTTCACTAAATCCAGCAAACTACAAATCAGAAGAAAGCCTAATTACTGCAGTGTGGAAGGAAGTGTTAGGAGCCGGTAAGGTGTTAAGCGACTGAGGGTTCTTCTGTTAAATTTATCAGTTATCGGATACGGCAACAAAAGCTAATATATTCTATAAATTCGTTCAAAGTGGTAGTATTCCCGCCAAATTAAATGCGAGATTTTAGCTCATAAAGGTTCGTAAACAATTGGCGCCACGCCTGGGAATTATCTCGCCTCCTGAAACCGCAAACTAATGGAACAACGGAAGAACGGAACCTCCACCTTTCCTTTCCGTAATGATACTCAAAGTCACGACTATATATGAAGGAAACTCGAAATTCTTTCAACTGATATATATATAGTGGGAATAACAGACATTGGAACAGAGCTAGAAAAAATATAATGCAATAAATAAAATATTTAGCTGTACTGTCTTAAATATTCAAAAGGCGTGAATTTGAACTTTGCATATCTTGTATCCACCTCGTTTCCTATCCAAGCAATGCGATACCCTCTTTAGTAGAGACTTTCAATAATTTTGTTCAGGAGAGAAATCAACAGCAAGATAATTATTATATTGGTATAATCTAACCGACAGAAAAACACTACAATCCTACAAACTCAACTACTTCATTAAATAACGAGTGGTATTCGACTCCTAAAGGCAGTACAGTACTTATGCTCGATAAACTGACTTCAGCCCATCTCATATCTTAACACACCACTGAGCGAAACTCACAGTTTTCTTCAACGTTTCTTTTCGGCAACGATCTTCCAATGCAGCTTTCTCACACGGTATAGCTTTCTTAACAGTCGGCCACTCCCGAAAACAACAGCTACAAAACTGAGAAGCTTACAAAAGAATTAGTAGTATTACGCATACTAACAACTATGTGACTTGATTAAATATTCTAGAAAGTTCTGTGGTACGCATGTCAGCATGACTGAGCAGTCTGGAGACTTTTAGAAGCCTATATTTACAACAATCAATTACTTATAACACTGTTTAGTTTAGATTCTAACTTGTGCTAAATTTCAATGGGAAACACAACGTCTTGTTTAATTATTCAATTCTAATTTCTCCTGTATTTGAATAGTTTTCACTTTACGTTTTAGAGTTATCTTCAATTTCATTTTAAAGCTGTGCCATTGTCGAGGTTTTGAACACAGAAAACGGTTAGCATCACAAAATAGGTGGAACTCTGGGAGAAAGAATGGTTAATCAGCAAGTCCCAAACAGATTCTTTGGTCAGATTCTCTGAGCGATATAAATCCATATTCTGTTGATCAATGTAGGAAAATAAAACTTTAAGAGCCCCTTCTCAGCATACTTGATATACTGAATCCCTGTGACTTTGAAGAATATCAATAAGGTCAAGTTCAGTTCTTTAAAATACCTCACAAAGCACAGCGGGTGAGTTGGAGCCTTTGATAATTACATCTACAAAACAGTATTGTTTACCCAAATAACGTTTCGTCTAAATTATTAATATGCCACTGACACAGATCCATGTCCAACTAGCAGGTTTCAAACGCTGAAGTGGGAGAATTAAATAATATAAATCCATCTCGATCATCGATACGCAAGTCGACCAAGTTACCGAGATGTTTGCAACGATACAACTTTCCACTTTCGTGACTTGGAGATGAGTCAAAATATTGAGATATTCATTCAAATTTACCATCTTTTTTATTCTGTTTACACCTTCCATGCAGTTTGTTTATTTATACTTATCATTTTAATGATACTCTTGACAAGATGCGGGTACCATCCTTCTCCCACGAAAAAATTTTGGAAGGAACTGGAGTGCTCGTAAATTTAGAGTTCCTAGTTGTCAGTAGAAAACGGCGGGGAAATAACACGGTGACATGATGCAAGTAAGGGAAGCGGGGTCTAGAGTAAGAGTGCGTTAAAAAGTGTTAACAGCTTATTATTTCGTGGAAAGAATGAACCACCACAAATTGTTCTTAAATTCACTAATCTGTCCTGCCTTAAAAGGTAACTGACGGCTAAAAGGTCACTTTTTCGGAAAACCGTCTAAGTTCCTCAAGTATCACATTGAATAGATACAAGGTGCTTGGAATACCTCTTTGTGCCTTTATTCGTTGGGAAACTGTCCTAAATGCAGCTTGGTGAGTCATCCGCCGTAAAAGCTTCGATTTTGATCATGTGACCTTATAGGTCACACGTGTGAATATTAAGCAAAGCAAATAGGGCGGATAGTAGTTCGAGTGAGTGCAGTGCTATTTAGGGGTCTGATTATTTGGATTTTGATGCCTAGATGGAAAGTGAACATAAGGGAAGGGTTTATGAACCTGTTGGTGAAATCAGACCCTGGCAGTTTGAACCGCCAGGGCGAATCTAAAATAGAGCGCGAGAGTCAGAAGAGGAGCCGCAGCCGTCTCATTCAAGAAAGCGAGATGGCGAGTGCATTTGCGCTTGTTACAAAAGTATCTGAAAATCAGTCGCTTATTAAATTTAGGAGCGATCAAATTTAGAAAACCAAATGTGCAGACTCTTGAATACCATGGGAACGAAGTGTTTTTATGCTACACACGCGCACCTCCCGAAGCCAAGGTTTCACTGACTGAAAATATAAACATACACGCTTTTGGATGTGAATTGAATGGATTGTACACGTTTCCACGGGATTGAACCGGTTTTAAGTTTTCCTGTGTTGAATTTGGCGAACGATTAAAGATTTGTCGGTTTTTACTTAAAATCAAGATGCAGCAAAAGAATAGCATTCGCACATGTAGAATTGAACATAATTTATTGTTTACTTGTGGTCTTTGCACCTTGTTTATGACCTTGAGTTTGTGATAGTTACAGAGCTGATAACTGTTCCTCTAAGTGAAACCAATCATACAAATTGTGCTCTCTATTTCTTCTATTCAAAATCGTGTGTCTGTTATTAGTCACTTCCATTGGAAGTTAATTAAACTTAGGCACACGAATGTGCTATATATGCGGATCAATGTTGGTTGTATTCATCAACCTGGAGAACTCTCAGCTAGAGACGAAACGCGTTGAAAGAAATAAGCAAAAAGTTACAACAGCAAGAAGTCTTCCTCTGTGATGCTCACTAGTCTCCGTTAAAAAGAATTAAAAGAAGGATAAATCTTGTACATTTCCGGAACGTGAAAGAAGAGTTTCATTCACGAAACCAGATGACGAACTCTCATAATACGCAACAATTCT